GCTAAAAGGTAAGTAGCAAGCAAAATGAGAACCTTTTTCACCAATCAAGCTGGTGAGTTAAAGAGCGTTCTATTTTAAGTGGGCCAGGACACCTGGTGAGGGGTGCACGGCCGCTGACCATACATGGGCATGCCGGTGCACAGACTGTTGCAGTCTCACCGGCAGCTCTCTGACAACATCTATCAGGATGAAAACTTTTCATAACTAACCTGGAAGTTCCTCATTTACTTAATATTGCACTTACTGAGTGCCTACATGTGCCAATTACTCTGCTCAGCCTTGAGGAAACAGCAGTTGTGCACATGGAACTAAGAGACCAATGACCGATAGTATCATCAGAGCAACACCAGTCACCAAAAGGAAATACCAGATGCCACCAGACATACACACACACAGCCCTTACATGTGTGAGAAGAGGCTCTGTGTTAGCCAGCAAGTGATTTTAGTCATATTTCAGGTGTTCCAGACCCTCAACCCCAGACGATGTAATAAAAACCAATGTATGAGTATGATGAATAAATTAATTCATAGATCCTCTCAGGGTGCCCTGGAAAAACATACTGGCCATGAGACAGTGGGTATATACATCTACTCCTGCATACATGTACCTAGTCCTGAGTATACATATCCAGTCCTAAACAAATGAAATAGTAAATCTTAAGTGTGTGCTTGTGCCTGACATATATAGCAGGCAATAAATATCACTGTATAGTAAAAACACAATAATGTTTGCTAAATATTCTTGAAAAATACTGGAATGGATCCTTTTCAAATGCTGCTCAGACCACAGACAAAAAAGATGACTTAAGTCTACTTCACAAAAGGGAGGATATGAGATGAATATGTGAAAAGCTGAGCATGTGCACCAAAGCACTGCTTTGACTACATAAAATAAAACATCCACAAATGACTTCTCAATATCCAGGGCTGTATTTCATCTGTGCTGTCACAAGAGTGGACGAACAAGAGACGACAGCACATCAATAACGTGCGAAGAGTCATCACTGCTTCTCTGCATACAGATCGCAGCAATCAACTCTGATTACTTCCAAGTGCATCAGCTGCTAAGCACTTTCTGATGGGGAAATTCAGCTGACACTTGAGTATACTATTAAAAAAAACTATCTTCAAATATGACTGTCACAAAAGGAAATCCTTCTTGCCAAGTAGAAAATATAGTAACTCATAAAATCAGTTACATTTATGATTTCCCCTGTGAAAGTGTGTATAATGCATAAACAATATATAAGAGGCACTAAAGAGGGATTTAAAAATCTCTTGATTTTTAAAGGGATAATTATAACTCACAAATGAAGTAAATTTTACTAAAAGATCACAAAATTTCACATAGACATTTTATAAATGTTTTAACTATAAAAGAACAGAATAAGAGTTTTACAAGTAGCAACAACACAGTACTGATAGGGATCCAAGCCACGCAACCACAGAGGAACAGAGAACAGTCCCTTTTTGTACTCCCTGTGAACAAGGCTTCTTTTGGAAGGAGACTGGAACACAAGAAACATGTAAATATGGACATGTCCTCCCACATTCACTCTCACACACAATTTACATAAGGTTCAAAGACAGCAGACTTTCTTTTCTATTAAAAGAAAGACTGACGATATACTGGGAAACAACCATCACAAAAAAAACCATAGAACAGAGTAATTCCATTTCTAATAAATTCCATTCCTAAATATAATATTTCATGTTAGCTTTAGGTATAACACTGGAAAATATACAGGTAGTGGTTGATATGACTGAACCCTGCTGAGATATGGTGGCTGATTAAAATAAATACAAATACACAAAGACCTCCAAGTTTGTCCTGTCTACTAAAATACTGCATGAGCTCTTTAAGAAGCACAGTTCAGGACTTATTCGTGTTTGAATCCCATGAGGTTATCACAGTGCCTAAGACATAGTGAGTACTTAGTAAATATTTGTGGAATTGAATTGTGAACTAGCCAACTGGATAATTACCAAGGCATTCAATTTATACACCTCTCCCTGTAAGTAGGAAAAAATATTGCATTGATTCCAAGAATGTGAAAATAGAATGGCCACACAATTTATACTCCTCTTCATTAGGAACTTTGCAAAAACTGCCAACACCCAGGAGCACCTGTTTCATGCTCTCCTCCCTGCCTCTGCCTCTGCCTCTGCCTCTGCCTCTGAAGCTGTCTATTAGGAGACAGTGAATAATAAACGCAGTCATAAACAAGGAGAAGGAAGGAAAAGAGCAGTGGCAGACATGGAAAATTCCCACACAAGAAAAGCAGCTTCTTGGGCAATAAAACAAAGGGCTAACTAAAGTATTCCAGTATTCACTGAGATCATCTATCAGTCAAAGTAGTCTCTGCTTCCAAACAAAGCACCTTTAAGACAGTAACAGACTTGAAATAGAAGTGGCTTTCCTTTAAAAAACAAAAAGCAAACTACAGGATGTTTTCCCAGTGTAGTTCTACAAGAGTGTGTTTAAGAACTCCTAATACAAAAAGTTCAATGTTGTAAATATGATACAACAAACCAGTCAATTACACACTCATCAATGCCATTCAAAGAATAGATAACTGTGAAATATTAGAAATTAAGAAGCAGAGCGACAAACATTCTTGACAGCAAAATAAATGTTAAATTATGCCCTATAAACATAACTGTATTTTTTCACATTCTAGACTTTACTTGTCAATCACTTGCATCAAAATAACCAAACACCAAGCAATGCACTGCAGTTGAAATAACACTAGGCTTAGAGTCAGAATGGTCCAGGTTCCAATCTGAGCTCTATCAAGCACTTGACAGGGCAGCTTGTTCAGCATGTGCCTCAGGTTTCTCATCTGTAACCTGGAGGTAATACCAACCTCCCTTGGATGGTGGTTATGTGAATGCATATTATGAATGTTATCTGACACACACAGGAAAGTAAAAAATAGCAAAAATTATCATCAACTGCATGAAAAATGTCAATTTCATGGATCACCAGTATCGATGACCAATTTTTTAAAAGATGTATTTCCTAGAGTACTTAAAATAATTCTACTAAAAAATGTTTTTAACGTATTTTTACTTCAAACATCTCAGAAGTGTGAAAGACATAATATCAGTATGTCTTCCTCAACATTATATTCTATTTTTAGGTGAAACTGATATAAAAAATCAGCCATTTTAACATGAATAGTTCAGTGGCCCTCAGTATATTCAGTATCCTACAACCAACTCCATCAGGTTCCAAACACTCATCACCACTGAAGGGACCTTCACACCCACTCCCCTACCTCCCCAGGCATGACAAACACAATCTGCATGCTATCCCCATCACTTCACCTACTCTGTACATTTCTGTGAATGAAACCATACAGTGTGTGACCTTTTGTGTCTAGCTTCTTTCATACAGCATGGTATTCACAAGGTTCATCCATGTTCTATCATATCTCATTTTAATCAAATGTGCTGGTTTAATAACATTCAGGTGCATGAATACAGCAAAATTTTGTTTATCCACTCATCCACTGATGGACATGTGGGTTGTTAGCACCCTTCGGCAACTGTAAATAGTGCTGCAGTGAACATGGGCATGTATGAATTTGCTTGCATTCCTATTTCCAATTCTAAGTTTATCTGAGAATGCCTTAATTTCTCCCTCATTTTTGAATAATTTTACTGAATACAGAATTCTCGATGGGAAGTTTTTTCTTTTACTATTTTAAAAATATCACCATGTTCCTCCTGCTGATTTTTCATCTTCTTACTGGGGACCCCTCCTCTCTTATGTGACAAGTGGCTGCTCTGTGTCCTCTTGGTCAGTGGGTTTCAACATAGTCTAACTACAACGTATCCGTGTGGCTCTCCATGCATTTGCCTTTCCAGGGTTTCATTAAACTTTCTGAATCTGTAGATTCATGTCCTTTATCAAGTTTGGGAAGTTAATGATCATTATTCCTTCAAATATTTTTCTACACTTTCTCTCTCCTCTGCTCCCAAGATCCCATTATATGCATATTTGCACACTTGCTGCCATCCCATAAGTCTCCTAAGATTTATTTATTTTTCTAATTCTTCCTTCTGCCCCTCAGACTGGACATTCATTGGACCCAGGTTCAAGTTCATTGATAGTTTCTTCTGACTACTCTAATCTGCTACTGAAACTCACTTGTGATTTTTTTCTTTTAATTTATTGTACTTTTCAGCTCCAGAATTTTCCTTTCGCTTCTTTTTCAATCATTCTATACTTTAACTGACATTCTGTAATTGTTAATACTTCATTCTCCTAATCTTTTAGCAATTCATTTCCTTTAGCTCCTTGAGCATATTTAAGGCAATTGATTTAGTCCTTGTCTAGTAAATCCTTGGAAATAATTTTTCTTAATGTCTTCTGTGAACGGGCTTCACTTTGTTTCTTGTCAAATGCTATAGCTGTATGTTTAGTGACTTTGCTAAACTCATTTTTGTAAAGTGTGTATTCTCTGTCATATGTGGTTTCTGAAAGAGATTTCCTTGCATATAAGAAAAGGGAGGGAGGGAGAGGGGTACAGTGGGGGGAAAAAGAGAGAGAGAGAAAGAGATATAAAGAGGGGGAAAGGGAAGAAGGAGGAAAGGAAGAGAGTGAAGCAGCGAGGGAGGGAGAGAGGGAGAGAGTATCTGTGCAGATAGGCTCTGTGCTGAGGACTCCAGCACTTAGCCAGGCTGTTTATAACTCGGCCATAGGCTGCACCTCTGCTAGCACTGAGCCTAGACATTGGCCAGAGGCAAAAGACCTTCTCAGGTCTTTTCTGAGCATGTGTCCAGTTCCAGCTTTGAAAATGAGTTTCAAATTTCCCCAGTAAACAAGGCACTTGTGAATGCCCTAATTATTCAAAGAAATTAGATATCATATGCAATCACATAATACTATTTTCAATAATAGAATTAAGACGTGTTTTCCTTCATTTATGTTCACTCTAAAATGATGATTACATCGGACAAATGATGACCTGGATTAAAGGTGTCTCGCTAACCTCTTACTGTGAGCTTGCTGTAAAGTTGTGAATTTACTTCCTTGTCTCGCTGAAAACGCCGAAATTCATCCATTGCTTCCCTCATGATAGTAACTGCCAAGACAAATCCCTACAAAACAAAAAAGGAAAATTATTTTTTACTATTTGGTTTTTCTTTCCCCTCAATTTATAGTTGACCCTTGAACAACACGAGTGTGACCTATGGGGTCCACTTATGCACAGATTTTTCTCAGTAAACACCTGCACTGTTTCTGTTCTGTGGTTGGGAATTGTAGATGTGGGTGGGGGAGGTAGAGGGGAAGGGCCTGAGGACCACATGCATTGTTCTATGCCATTCTACAGAGGGGACTTGAGCAGTCATGCATTTTAGTATCTATTGAGGGTTCTGGAACAGATCCCTGGTGGATGCCAAGGGACAACTAAGCTTTGGGGGAGTCAAAAGTTACGGATTTTCGACTATGTGGAGACCTAACCTCTGTGTTGTTCAGGGGTCAACTGTATATTACTTCTAAAATATAAAATAAATGAAAACAGAAAAAAGTAACAATAAAATACTATAAAAGGAATATAATACATAGTAATAGATTTACAATTCATACTATCTCTAAGACAATTTTTAAAATTCACATCATAATATGTAGTAACCCAAAGAAAAAACCAATCTTCAATAAATCTATGAAATTAGACTTGGAACATTCAAGCATTCAAATAGCAAATTAACAAAGACTGACAGAAAACTCTTATAATTTCTACATTTAAATATTTCTGATAGAATAAAAGCATTTCAGAAAACAAAACAATTCCCAGGTATGGCACGTATCATGATCAATTTCCTCACCTAGAGCAACATCATGCAATGGCATTGGAGAGCATAGGTACGGTCAGTGCTTTCTCTCATTTTTTAGGTTAAAACCTGAATAGATTAATTTGATGCTAAGTAAAACTTTTATTTACTTATAACCTACTATGAACTGTTACACCACTAACATGTGGCTAATGTCAATCTTTTTTAAAGGCTACATTCGTTTTTTCTGACACACATTCCATGGATATTTAAGCCAATCTCCCATGATTAACTGGAGACCTCTTTCATAGGCTTGCTGGTACTGACAAATGTGCTCCAGTCTATTCTATAAACAACACACCAATGGATGAATTTCCACTGAAGGGACAATCATCTTTTATTCTAGTTTTTTTCTGTACAATCAACAAGCTAAATTAAGTGGGCCACTGGAACATGTTTCTGGTATTTACTGAACTGCACCCCTCTTTATGCAGTCACCCTGAATGCTGGTGTGGGGCTCCAACCTCAGTCCTCGTGGCCCAATGCACCACTCACCCATGATCCATCACAGTATGAATCTTCGAGGTATAGCCATCACCTATAAAAAATGCCGCTGACTCCTCTCCTGCACTCATCCATCACTGATCACCAAGCGCAGGTCATACCTCCGAGACACATGGGCCTGGCTCCGACCTTCCTCTGGTCTCACCCACAGCATCAGTCTCCCGCCTCCAGCCTCATTTCTCTCCAAATCATCCTTCCCCACGTTACCAAAATGTCTTCTACAATATGAATTTGGAAAATGTGTGGCCAAATCCTCCTCTTGGGATGGGTCCCAGCAATTTCACTACCCCAAACCTTTGACAGTTCCCATTGTTCATGCTCCATTTACTAAAGTACAACCTTAAGAATGGATAACTCTCAGGGACAACCAAGATGGCGGCATAGGTAAACACCTGAACTTGCTGCCGTGCACAACCACATTAAAACTACAACTAAAAGACAAAACGAATATCATCCAGAACCTCAGGAAGGCTGGCTGAGTGGAAATTCTACAACTAGAAGGAAAGAGAAAAGTGCATTGAGTCCGGTAGGAGGTGCAGAGTTGTGGAAGTGTGGAGGCATGCGCAAAAGGGGCTGGCAGCTGGGTATGCAGTTGTCTTTTTCAATCACGTGGGAGAAACAAGCTCCAACTGCTCTGAACTCCAGTTCCGGGTGAGAATTTGGGGACCCAGACTCATACGGAGAGAAACTGGACTGTCTGGCATCGGGCCAGAACGTGAGGGCAGCTTTCTCGAAGAGGTGCTTGCAGTGTTCATTGTTCCTGCACAGGGCCGTGGGACACAGACCCTGGGACCACTCTGAGGCAGAGCAGACTGGCAGCCACTGTGGTTTGCTCTGCCCTGGTGATTCCCTGAGACCCCACCCCACCCAATTTAAAACCCCACCCAAGCTGTGCGCACAGGCTTTTGCATACGAACGGCCTGGCCTTTCTCCACCTAAAAACCTGTCAAACTGTAGGTGGGTCAGAGAACCTCAGAGCTTCCAAAAGAAGGCCTAAGGCTCATCAGCAGCCTGCATTACTTCACAGCTACGCCTCATCTGGGCACCACCAAACCCCAAACAAAGAGGAGGAATCTGCAGATCTCTCTGTAGCTCCTGCTGGGTGGCCTCAGGCAGTGGCTGACTTTGCACCTCCTTGGAGATCCAAGAGCCAGTCTACCCAGTGGTCAAAGTGAGACCATCCTGATTACAACTCTTCACATCCATAAGAGACACACTCAGGGGGCAGACTCAGTGAGCGCCAAAGCCCCACTGAAGCAAGTCCTGCCCCATAAGGGTGTCTCCTGCACAGCAGCTCTTCCATTGTAGACACAGCTGGTCCTCACAGCCAATTGGCCTGGAGGTCAATTCCTCCCAGTGATACCAACAGCAATCAAGGCTTAACTACAAGACTGTGCACACAGCCCACAAAGGGATGCACCGAGAGTATCCACCTCAGGTGATTGGGGAGGCTGAGCCACTGGGCCCTATAGGACACCTACCACACAAGGCCACTCTATCGACACAGGGAAATAGCCAAAATGCGGAGACAAAGAAACAGATGACAAATGAAAGAAATGGAGGAAAGCAAACTACTGGATATAGAGTTCAAAACCACGGTTATGAGGTTTTCCAAGAATTTTATAGAAACGGCCAATAAATTTAGTGAGACCCTCAAGGATATGAAAAAGGACCAATTAGAAATTAAGCATACACTGACTGAAATAAAGAATAATATACAGAGATCCAACAGCAGACTAGAGGATCCCAAGAATCAAGTCAAAGATTTGAAATACAAAGAAGCAAAAAACACCCAACTGGAAAAGCAAAAGGAAAAAATAATACAAAAATATGAAGATAGTGCAAGGAGCGTCTGGGACAACTTCAAGCGTACCAACATCCAAATTATAGGGGTGCCAGAAGAAGAGAGAGAGCAAGATATTGAAAACCTATTTGAAGAAATAATGACAGAAAACTTCCCCTACATGGTGAAAGAAATAGACTTACAAGTCCAGGAAGCACAGAGAACCCCAAACAAAAGGAATCCAAAGAGGACCACACCAAGACACATCATAATTAAAATCCCAAGGGCAAAAGACAAAGAGAGAATATTAAAAGCAGCAAGAGAAAAACAGTTAGTTACCTACAAGGGAGTACCCATACGACTGTCAGCTGATTTCTCAACAGAAACCATGCAGGCCAGAAGGGAGTGGCAGGAAATATTCAAAGTGATGAACAGCCAAGAACCTACAACCAAGATTACTCTACCCAGCAAAGCTATCATTCAGAATTGAAGGTGAGATAAAGAGCTTCACAGATAAGAAAAAGCTAAAGGAGTTCATCACTGCCAAACCAGCATTGTATGAAATGCTGAAGGGTATTCTTTAAGAAGAGGAAGAAGAAGAAAAAGGTAAAGATAAAAATTATGAACAACAAAGTGACAACAAATACATATATATCAACAAGTGAATCTAAAAATCAAGTGAATAAAAAATCTGATGAACAGAATAAACTGGTGAATAGAATAGAATCAGGGGCATAGAAAGGGAGTGGACTGACAATTCTCAGGGAGAATGGGGTGTGGGGGTGTGGAAAGAGACTGGACAAAAATCGTACACCTATGGACGAGGATATTGGGAGGGGGGTAAGGGAAGGGGGGGTGGAAACCGGGTGGAGGGGAGCTATGGGGGGAAAAAGAGGAACAACTGTAATAATCTCAACAATAAAGATTTATTTTAAAAAAATGGATAGCTCTCTAGCCTCATCACCCTCTCCATGCTGCCCTCTCCTCCAACACCAGAGAACTGTCAGTAGTCTTCTGAAACACCTTCATGTATCCCAGCTGGTCTTTGCCAGGATATTTCCAGTGGCTGCAAAAAGCACTGTTTTGAGAAGTATTCTAATGCCACTTTTGGAATCACTGAGGAGAGAGCCAAACAGTTGGGGACATGCCCCATCTTCACAGAGGGAGGTGGGCACAGTGTGCAGCACGAATTTGAATAGCCCCCACTTAAGGTAATGGCTGATGAGCAGAGTTTGACCCTTACCTAACAGTTTTGTTAAGATATAACTCACATGTCATAAAATTAACTTCTTTAAAGTATACAATTCACATTTTCAGTAATTCAAAGTTATGCCAACATCTAATTTTAGAATATTTTCATCACCCCCCAAAAAACCCAATAGCAATCACCACCATTCTCCCCTGCTCCCAGCCTGGCAACCACTAATCTACTTCCCATCTCTATGGATATGTCTCTTCTGGGTGATATGGTAACTGTATGTTTAGCATTTTCTATGAAATGCCAAACTGGTTTCAAAAGTTGCACTACTTTTCATGCACTTATTGGCCATTTGCACATCTTCTTTAGAGAAACGTTTATTCAGAACCTACATCCACTTTTTAACTAGTCATCTGTTTTTTCATTGTTAAGGTTTAAGAGTGTTTATATTATTCTGAATACAAAGACCTTGTCAGTCACGTAATTTACAAACACGATGTTACAAATATTTTCTCCCATTAACTGTACTTTCTTGATGGTGTTCTTTGATGCATACAAGTTTTAATTCTGATATAGTCCAACTTACTTTTTTCATTTGGCACTTGGGCTTTAGTGCCCAAGAACACAAAGATTTAGCTCTATGTTTTCTTCTAGGAGTCTTATAGTTTTAGCTCTTTCATATAGATCTAGGATCCATTTCGAATTACTTTTTGTGAATGATATGAAGTAGGGGTCCAACTTTATACTTTTGCATGTAGCTGTCTAGCTGTCTCAGCACCATTTGTTGCCAAGTGTCTGGACGGTGGGACTGGGAGGGGTTGATTCTGTTTCTTTTACATGCTCTGCCCATTCCTCCAATGCACAGACTTATGAGAAAGGGTGGACAAGGAAGACCTTCAAGTCAGACTGGAAATCAGAGTCCTCATGCAGGGCTATCACCTACACAGCCTGTCTGGCTGCCATTAGGTACTAATGAAGTACCAGGAGTATACTATACTGTATATGGAAGATGCAGTTAAAAATCCGTACTTTCTTCACCTAAAAATCTTTTCATGGGCAACTCTAGCCCACCTTATTAATTTTGATAGAAGCATTACAATATGCTTTGTTACTCTGATTACACTAGCTATATCTAGAAGAATTGTTCTGAAAGATGAACAATATGAAAGGTAATCTTCATTCTGACTCAATAGTATAATGAAGTCACTTTATTTTCAGTTAACTTTTCTATTGTATGGGAAAATACAATAGAAATAGTTCAGAGCAGAAACTAGTAAATAACATTGCCAGCAGTAATTGGAAAAGAAAGATTATTAATTAAATTGCCAGTGTTTCAGAAACATCCCAATGTCAGTCAGAGAGCAGAGGGAATGTCTGAAGTAACCGGTTCCCTGTAAAATTAGTGGACGACAGACGTAAGATTTCATAACCTCCAGCTATAAGGTGCTTTATGCTTTTCTGGTGGGTTCTTGCCTAGGAGAAATATGGAAATGCTCACTGATTCCTTTTATGTAAGCATACAGAAGCTTGGAGCAAGAAGAGAAAAGATGTACAACCTTTTGTACACATATAAGACCACATGCCACCCCAGGCCCCAGACACCAATTACAATACACAGGTAAAGAAAGAGCAAGAACTCAGGAGCTTAGGAAGAAATCCCCGTGAAGATACATCATTTGTACAAAAAAGTAAACAGTACTTTTTCAATGAGACTGAAATGTGCATCAGGAATAATGTACAAGTGGAATGATCACTACAGCAAAGTCTGTAACTGTGGAAAATTAGAAACAACTAAAAGCCTCCTTTCCCAGGAGGATGGACAAACACTTGTGATAGGCTCATATGTTGGCATACTTTTTGCAGTGGTTCTCAACCTTCTGGCCCTTTAAATATAGTTCTCATGTTGTGACCCAACCATAAAATTATTTTCGTTGCTACTTCATAACTAATGTTGCTACTGTTATGAATCGTAATGTAAATATCTGATATGCAGGATGGTCTTAGGCAACCCCTGTGAAAGGGTCGTTCGACCGCCAAAGGGGTCGCGACCCACAGGTTGAGAACCGCTGCTTTAGAGGAAGAAAAATGAATGAGCTAGATCTGTGTTGGTGTGGATCAATTTTCTAAACCAATGTTAAGCTAAGAAAGCATGTTACAAAAAGATACATAGAATAAGATAAACTATATATAAACTTATTAAAGCATGCTAAACAATATTGCATATTGTTTAATGATACAAATGTAAGTGCTAAAATTAAGAGATACATAGCAAGTATAATCTCAAGTTCAGAATAGAGGTTAATTTCAGTGGGAAGAAAGGTAGAGAAAAGGAGGAATAAAAACTTCCTCCTAATGGCTACTTGGCTTCAACATCAGCTTTTAAAACTGTGGTGTAAGTCTAAGTGTTCTTCTTCCTGGGCACATGCAGCGTATACACTAATAGCTCCCTGCTCACTCAGGATAAAATCTGAGCACCTGGAGGAGCTGACCTTACCAGGGGGCCTCCTCCCCCTAGCCTGCCCCTATCTCCTTTCCAACCACAGTCCCAGGTCCACACCCTCTAACAGTCCACAACCTCCCTCCCACAGGGACAAGCATCCTGTAGCCCTAAGACCTTTCACAACTGCTGTTCCCTCTGCCTGTATTCTCTTTTCCCTGTTCTGTGCATGGCCCACCTGCTCTTTCCTATCTCCCCCTCAGAGGGGCATGCCTTGACCACCCTATTAAAATAATCTCATCATTCTCAGTCCCCTTATATTTTCTTCTTCATAGCTGTATGGCTACTACCTGGCATTATGTATTGATTTAAATTGTCGTTCTCCCCAGATCTAAGCTCTGTCAGGAAGCAGATGAGCAAGGTCTATTGTACCAACAGTGCTGAGTAGTGCTGGACATGAACAAATTCACTATTGGCTGATCAAGGAATTGTGTATTTATACTATCCATGTTTTAACCCACTCTTTCCCATTTATTCTAATATTAGAGGCCTGGTGCATGAATTCATGCACTGGTGGGGTTTGGCCAGCCTGCCCCGATGGGGGCCCATCAGGCTGGGATGGCCGGGGGGAGGGTCCGCAGGAGGTTGGCCAGCTGGCTCTGCCCCGATCGGGATGTTGGGGGTTGATCAGGGGTCGGGCCAGCCAGGGAGGTGGTGCTGCTGATCGGGGCTCGGATCAGGCTGGTTGACTGCCACCGTGCACGTCATAGCCACTGGTCGTTCCTGTCATTCTGATCATTCCGCTGTTTGGTCACTGGGCTTTTATATATATAGATATGTACCTTTAATGTTAGGTACACTGTAACACAGTATTCTAACATACTCATGGCACACAGCAGAGTTGAAGAATCCATTGTTAGAATATGATTTTAAAGAATTTTTTTCATCAAAAATAATCACATTCTTTAGACTTTGTGACTGATCATTATTTCTTTGGGATAAATCCCTCAAATAAAAACGCTGCATTCATCTTTAAGGTCTCTGATGTTATTACCAAATTATACAGATCAATGTCTTCACTGTCAGCACTGACATTGCCTTCAATCTCACCAATTTAGTCAGTGGAAAAGATCTATCCTGTAATTTTGCATTTATGTTACCTATACAGTGACTTTCATTGCTCCCATCCACCTAGTCCCTGTGACCAGGAACAGTGGCAGGGTGGGGTTTGGCTCAGTCTGTCCCGAAAACCAGAATCCACCCATCTTCCAGATTCTCTCTGTGAGGCGTGGGCTCCGCAGACCAGAGTAGATAACCACGAGCACTCTGCTCAGATTCCAGTTCTGAGGGCAGCAATGCTGTGGTGGGAAACCTGAGCCTGGTTGGCTCTTTCCCTGAAGGAATACTCCCCCCACAATGCTCCCTTGCCAGTGTGACACTGGGCATTGGCCCCAAAGAGAGCAAACAAAAGCAGCACATTTTTCTGGGTGAAAGGAAGAAAGAAGTGATACATGTGCCTATATAAGTTGAAAAACGATCAGCAAATAGCATAAAATTATCAAAACAGTATATGTTTGAAATGAGAATATCCGTTAAGTATTATATGCCTTTCAAACATTTTTATGCACTGAGCTGCCAACCAGAAATTGTCTGGACTCCATGGAGATACATGAGAATTGTCATTGTCAGACAAAGGTATACACTGCCTATCTGTCAGGACATCAGGAATTACTGAATAGACCCCACATGTCATTTCCAACAGCTCAGCACAGAAAAGAGTTAGGCAGGGGGACAGGCCTGCTGTCCCCGGGAAGATACACAAGGCCCAGTAGAAGCCCTGCCCCACCACCAGCTCTGGAACTTCTCCTGCCGAGGGCACAGCTGTGAAGGATTTAAGAACAGAACTCTGTAACATCTTTTAATAAAAGTTCAATGATACATAGCAACAATATCAGGTTTTAGAAAAATCTGATCTATTTATCTATTAACCATTTCAACTCTTAAAAATATATTCTAGTTAATAATTTAACTTAATTTCAAAAATCTTTTCTTTTACCAGAGGAGCCCAGTAGGTGTAGAGATAGCCTATTTTCAATGCTGGTACAAACTGGGAGCAGGAGACTACCAGAAAATATAGATTCAAGAAAAACTTGAATTGTTCATACAAAACCTAAAAAGGAAAAGAAAAAATTAACAGTCTCTTCAAGGAAAATCTTTACTATCTCATTAAATAATTAAAATCAGCACAATACCTGACTACATTTCCATCAAACAGTAAACATATACCTTGGGTCACAGTAAATTTAATGATTTTGACATTAGCTTTCCAATAACTAAATCATATATTAAAAAAGGTAAGGTTACCCCTAAATTATATTTAAAACAAACTGACAAAAAGACCTTTAGAACATTCAACTATGTTAAAAGTGTCCTCGAAAACCTTTTGATTCCTGAGTGCAATTTTCCAGTTTTCCACGCCTCTTCTGTTCTGTGACTCTTTATATGCACAACAAAGCAAATGAGAGCAAAGCCTTCCCAAGTTAGTAAGTTAGCAAATACACACATACAAATGTGTAACTTGGTAACAACTTAGAAAGTATTATAATGGAAAAGTCCTGTTAACCTTACATTTATGACGTGGTAAAAAAAAAAGAAATAAGAATGTGGACATCTGGGTAACTTTACAAAGATTGAGTGAACAAGCAAAACATACACAGGTATGACTGTACCCCAAAACTGCCCTAATCTCCTGGAAGTATTACATCCCTCAAGTATAAAGAAATGATGAAATAGAAAGCTATGAAAAGCACAGGCCAATTTTCAGGGAGACAGCTACCTATATATTCTTTACAGTCCCCTGGGAGTTGTCAACAGTACTTTCAAATATAAAATAAATACCATAATTCAATAAAATTTTAGGAATGCAAATCCTGCAACTTTTTGTTTTTGCTTAATTCAAATAGAATTATCTTTAAGGAAGATAAACAAGATCTAGTATATTAATAGATTTCTATCTGCAAATTCTCAAAATAATAGATTTAAATTGAAAATCAAATGGAACAAAAATCATGTTTATAGATGAGAATAATTCCCATATCACACTACAATTACAATGAAACTTATCACAAACTTGCAACTTGCAAATCCAAATCTCCTTGGATACCATTAGTTATGCACCTTGGAAAATATGGAAATCTCAACAGAGCAGAGCCATAGGTTAAGCACTTATTGTTGATTTAAAGAATAATGGAGTTATCTGCATCATCACACAGACGTGCGTGACTGAAAAATCGGTTACATTGATAACACGTTTATGTTCATAATCATGTTCAATTGCTGTCTCAAAATGTTTGGAATCATTTCATAAATTAATCTCAGCAGGAAAGCCCTTTTTCTCCTCAGTGGTTTCTTTAAAATCTGTTAGCATAAATTATACCTTTTAGCAATTCAGAAATTGCCATTCATGCTAAAAATGGAATAGAATTCCTACTGTGCAATTACCAAATGTTTCTAAAATACGTTTTAGATGAAAAGACTAATTTAAGAAAAAAGTCATTCATGGAGTAATAGTTGTGCAGACCCATCAACAGGTACCTTCGGGACACAGCGTCCGGGCAGGCTGTGTGGATTTACTGGTAAAAGGTAAGCTGCACTGTTGGCTTTAAACCAAAGTAACCAATACCTGATTGTTTACTGACTGAATCTGGTGACCCTTAACAATATATACAATGCTTAGCCAATCTATGAGTATTTAATAACTTAACCCTAAAGAGAAAACATTAGCTTCATTAAAGATGAGACTATGTACCTGTCTGAAAAATACTTTGCATTTTAGTTTTGTGAGTTTTAATAAATTATCACAGTACTTATCAAGCTCTTGTCAACCACTGAATGGATGGGTAGATGGGTGGTGGTGGGGCAATCAATGCCCACATGAAGTCAGCATGATAATTTAAATGAAAACATGAAAGACAAAGCAGCCCTCATGTCACTTAATCAAGTGATCTGCTTGCAAAAGAGCAAAAGAGGTAATACCTAGAACTTGTCAAAAACTTTGATATAAAAATATAATCAGTACCAGCCTCCTTTGACTTAAATAAATCTGTCATTAAAATAGGGAATGATGCACCAAAACAAAAAGTATTCAACTATTTAGTATTCTAAACATACATAACTCAGTATTGTAATTTAATAAAAATAATAAAATATTTAAACTTCAGTATTTAAAATTAGGATTAACACCCAATTAAAGGTAACTAATGATATAACAATAGAACAAGGTGTGAAACTTATGATGTGAAGAAAGTAGCCATAAATGCTAATAAACATTTTGTTACTGAGTTATGTACCTGAATCATGTTACTTTAACTGTGAAGTTCCTTGGCAGGCTTTAAACACTACATTCCACTTTCCCTCCAAACAAATTTCCAGCCAAACAAAATTTATGACTTATTTTCTGATAATTTTACTTAGCTTTACTTGATTAATTCTACAATTAAATTTTTATCTAGAACTGAAATCAATAATCAAACTATAAATTTTCTCCAGTTGTATTCTATGATATAGCCATTAAAAATGCATAGGAATTATTTAACAATTTGAACACGATTGAAAAACAAAAAGATATGGCAATTAAAAACGGAAAAATTTTTTAAAAAAGAAAAACAATGAAAACAAAGGAAGCTAGTAATCTCTGATATGCAACCCATTTTCAAGAATTAATAGTCTTACCCCAGGGAGAAAGGTAAAGACATTGTATTTTTGATTTTTGATGGAATTTCTGGGATGTTTTTCTTCACACTTCTCAGGATGTCCGAGCCACACAGTGCGAGCTCTCAGCTCTCTCTTTCTCTGACAAACATTTATCAGCCAATCGCAGCAACTACATGAAACAAAAGATATTGTGTATGCTTTTTAAAATTTATTCTACATATTTATAGCCAATAATGATTGCTTCCATATATACCAGGCACTGATAGCATATCTAATGCTAATCTGTAGGGGTTTTCTTAAAATAGGTCAGTCATACTAATTCACATCCAATATAATAAAAGTCTAATATGCTAACTGTCCAGTCGTCCGTTCAACCAATCAAAGTGTAATATGCTAATGATATGCTAAGGCCACTCAACTGCTCACTGTGACATGCACTGATCACCAGGGGGCAGTCAGTCAACCAGTTGACTAATCACTATGACGTACACTGACCACCGGGGGGGAGACGCTCTAACCGGTAGGTTAGCTTGCTGCTGAGGTCCGACAGATTGGGACTGAGTGAGTTGGTCTGGACATGCCCTGGAGCCCTCCCGTGGTCCCTCCCTGCTGGCCAACCTCCTGCATCCTTCCCTGGCCCCAATCATGCACCAGTGTGGTCCCTCACCCTGGCCTGCACCCTCTCACAATCTGGAACCCCTCGGGGATGTTGGAGAGCCGATTTTTGCCCAATCCTGCAGACCAGGCCGAGGGACCTCACTGGCCTCTAGTTTGATATAAGATACTGAGAGAGACTTGTGTAACTGTGTAGTGACTTCTAGAACCTCAAGGAAATTATCTTCCATGTTTAGACCCGCTCTTGGCCAAATAAAACGATTAACATTCTGAAGTGGCCCATACTTCGAGTGCTAAGGAAAGGTTCGCTGTTACTGGTGATTCTCAGTACACTACTCAGTGGTTCTATGTGACCCCCTCTCCATGTAATCACTTTTTTCCTCTCTTAAAAGATGACTTTTCTATTAGCATTAATGTAAAATGAACACTATGGTTCAATTCAGTATTTAAAATTACTGATATAGTTTAATGATAATGAAAGCTTGACTATATTTTCATGCAGGTATCTTCATCTTGGCAAAAACACTTTAATTATAAATCAGTCCTCACTCCAATGTCAGGGTTCCAGGAGTATGAGCACTTCCCCTGCGTGGACACCCAACCATTATTTTTAGGGAGAGTATAAAGTTTCCAGTGTATAACTTTTTAAAAATACTTCAGAAAATGACGAAAAGTAACAAATTCATCTCTATTAAGAATGAAATAATTGTGAATTTAAATGTCAGTAGTAACAGTTCAGTTTAATTCAAATTTCCAGAATGTAAAGACACAGAGTGGTTTATTTAGAAAAGTTGTTAAACTTCATCTTTTAGATGTAGTCAGGATTAGAACTGTAAACCAGCATGTAAGACAGGAATTCTTAACTTTGTGAAAAGGAAGATTGAAAGCTAATGTGAAATACATGTGACAATGACAGCCTTAGAAGGTGTGGCTATAAAATGAGGTTGGCAAATTGTGAGGTAAGCATAGCCTGAAGTCACTGCAGGTCCTTCGTGGCAGGGCACACGTGGCGGAGTTCAGTCACTTCAGTCACACCCATATCAATTTTAGGATCGCAGAGACTGAAAACAGATGTGTTTATCATCACCCATGGTGGCATCCTATAGCAAGGAACATGCATGTGTTTAACTGAAATCAGTACCTCCCTACTCTTCTATCTGCCCTGTTCTTGACTGTGCTCAGAAAATCTTCAGTCTGACAAAGAGGGCTTGGAGTATGGCTATCTCGGTTATCTTGTGGCCCAGCCAAGGAGTTTGCTCGGAAACTCCCCTGCTTCCCACCCACCTCCTGTTTCAACTGGAGCAGATAAGGAAAAACCCAACTATGCAAGGACAGAAATTTCTTACCATTGTTGTCATCACTTTAAAAATAAATCACAACAGATGGCATCTTCACACATACAACGTAAGTTCAAATCACCAACATCAGGGTATGAATCAAGTGAATGAAGGTTGTCAAAACAGCATTCCCACCTTTACTGGTTTTGGGTGGGAGGGCTCTGGTCAAGTACATTGTGGTAAAATGCTGGTAATATTGATCTTATCTATGCTTGAATTAAACAAAATTTTAAAAAGACTTCAAGTAAAATGAAATGAGCTTCCAACTACTATCTCTCACCTTCCTCTCTAACTCCACCCACCTTCTGACACCATGCACCCTGCAGCTCACTAGAGGTCTCTCCTGAGTGATGACCCCACAACTAAGTGCTCAGGAGGGCTCCTTCCCAGCTCCGCAGCAGCAACTCCACACTGCAATCTCGGACCCAGTTACATGCATGCTCCTGTGTACAAAACCCCACAGTTACATCACACACGTGGCACATCCGAGTTACCCAGGTTTTGGGGGACTTTTTCTTAAACTGTGACTGAATCAGAGTCTCAGACAACTGCCCATACAATGCACAGATGCCAAACTCCCACATCTTACTTAGGAAAAAACTGGAGGCCAGAGGGACATGATTCATCAAAGACAAGCACCAAGTGCTGGCAGAGTTGACCCCAGAGCTGTGTTCTCCCTGCCCCCTAACGACAGTTGGGCGGCTCCTGCTCATTCATAGGCTGTTCTCCTCAGCCTCAGACAGAACAGCAGCCAGTCAACAGATGACAAAAATAAATGAACAATTTATGAGCAGGAACAAGACTCACTGGATAAAACACACATTTAACTGCAGAGATCCTGGTCTGTTTGTGCCTCGTCTCAGAGGCACCAGTGAGGGGAGAGCTGCACACGGGGAAACCCTGGCACAGCTGCCACCTCAGCACTCAGCAGCTCTGCTGCCACTGTCCTGCCTCCAGTGTCACAGTCAAAGTCTCCAACCTTACAAAACCAACTCTGCAACAAAAGCGTACATTCCTACTCTGTCCCAGAAAGCAGCCATTAACACATGTGGCATTTTAATGGGAAATAAAATTAAGTGAAATAAAAAGTCCAGTTCCTCAGTCACCTGAGCCACATTTCAACTGCTCAACAGCCACGTGGGGTGGGGCCATCATACTAGACATCTCAGTCTAGATTATTCCCATCGTCACAGGGAGAGCTACTGAGCAGGCAGGTACAACACGAGATACATGCTTCCCTAAGCACTGCAAAACTCGTCCAGGAATATATTGTGTTCAGATATACAGATATAAATGTTTGCTCTGAAACACATAATTACCTAATTTAATTGTTTAATGTACAAAAGTCAGACAAACATAAGATGATATAGAAGACAAGCAAAATATATGTTTGAAAAAATATAAAACTTAGGAAATGCAGATTTTACAGAGTTTGTGCTGGTATTAACATATTCTTCTATAGGCAGAAGGCTCTGTAAAACCACCTTCAGTAGCAAAGGAAACTGACCTACCCCCCCACCCTCCCATCCCCCCCATGCCCCTCCCCCGCTAACTCCTAACGTCTCAAACTCTAAATTAAATACCAAGGGCTAAAACACATACATACAACAATTCATTAACTTTTTCTCTATAATCCTATATAGAATAAACTAAGATTCCTAGACTTCTTAAGATATAACTCAATTATTCATAACACTTTGCTACTAATAACTATTAACAAGTAAAAATGTTATTTCTAATTATTTCCTTATATAAAGACAGAATCAAGTGATGGTCAGGCAGCCACAATCAAATCCCACACTACTTCAAAAAATTAAATGAATACACAGGCTTGTGGTTTTAAAACAGGGTAATTGGGGCAAAGTAATGTGAATAAAATACATTGCCAAATACTGATAAATGTGAGGGAGAAAAAAGAGAAGTCCTTGGAAGAAAATAACCAGGAACTTTACATAATAATATTTTTATGCTGCTAAATAGTTTCTAAATTGTCAATAATTTAGAAGACACTCTCCCATTTATTTACAAATCACCTTACATAATTGAACTTAAATCCAATAGTGCACAAATTATGTTTTTTCCTTAAAACATTTTAGGAATATAGTTTCTCACAAAGTGGCACTCTACTGTTTCTAAAATTTTAACTAGCCATAACTACTCCCAAAATTGAGAGCCTCTTTAAAAAAAAAAAATTAGGCAATTACTATACCCAGCAGATCCCTTTGGCTACCAATCCAAAAGCAACACAGTACTCAGGTCTTCTTAAAAGATCCGCACTTTCCCATGCCTATGCTTCTGCACCCAAATGTGTGTCAGATTAATAAAGCATGTGGAGACCATTTAGAACTAGGAATAATCCCAGCATTTCATATCCTCTCCCTTCACATAAAAATGCCATTCAGGACTCCTTGATAAGAGTAGAATGGAAATCTCGTGAGAAAGCCCCCCTATCCTCCTGGACCACACATGTCCATGTGTTTCACAATTTTGCACAGGAAGGATAGTCAGAGTCTCTGAAGACAGACGACAGAAAAAGTATTTCAATGTGGCAGAGTTGGAATTTTTGCCAAATAATGAGCCTACTCATTCCCTGAAGAATTCTAAAGTAAGTTTTACTACCTGCAGAATCTACAGAGATACACTGAAATATTTATGACTCATTAATATTAGTTGCAATCTACCTGAAATATTTACAACTCACCAATTATTGGAAATCTACCTTATTGCAATGTTCACCCACATTCCCTTCTATGATTAAACTAAGTAATTTCATGTATCTTCTCTTTGATCCATCACCTAATAATATTAGTAACCTCAAATTTCATCATGCCTGGTATTTAGGATATTAAAAAGTAGCAAATATTGAAAACTGAAAATTTGTAAGAAATAAAGAAAATAAGACCAATCTAAATGTATAATTTGTTCTGTAAGATGCAATGTTTAATTTCATAACAGTTTCTCGGTACATCAGATGCCTACTGAACATGAAGCGTGTGACATCTCTGGTCATCGTGCCATTTACATTAGCGGTCACCAACCTTTCAGACCTCATGGACTACCAGTGGTCCGCGGACCACCGGTTGGCAACTGCTGGTTTATACTAACACCTGCTAAGATGGTGCAGTTAGCTCTTATACATGATCAAATCTATTAAGATTAAGATGAGTACATGAGTTTTTCTGCTGCTAAAATTTACATTTTCAAATAAGCTCTTAATATTTGCCTTAAAAAAAGAAATGTGGCACAATAAAATCCAAAATTTGGATATGTTCCATTTGATAAAAACAAATCCTATAAAAGACCAAAAATAATCATTTTAAGTGTATTCAGCACTGTGAAGGCTGAAAACATTAAAAGTCTGTAATTCTTGGCAACTATTAGGCAGTATGGGAAGTACCACTGCACCCTACCCAACACTGCCCCACTCACCCCCACCTCTTGACAACCAGCTCTGTGAGTGCTCAGGCTCTCTACTGATGGACAAACAGTAATAAAATTATGCGGGGTTCAATACAAATGCATGGTTAGTGATTTTCTTTTGTTAATTATTGATGATCTCTACCAAAGCATGACCAATTTCCCCATTTTGTTAGTCCTCATCTGGGCCCATCACCTCCTCACTCAAATGAGCCCGTGTTCCAATTAAGGGTAAGGGTTGGGGATTGTGTGAGGGGAATATGTGAGTACAAAAAGCAGCATTGGCCCTAGTTGGTTTGGCTTAGTGGATAGTACGTCAGCCTGCAGACGGAAGGGTCCCGGGTTCGATTCTGGTCAAGGGCACATGCCTGGGTTGCAGGCTCGATCCCCGGTGGGGGACGTGCAAGAGGCAACCAATCAATGATTCTCTCTCATCATTGATGTTTCTACCTCTCTCTCCCTCTCCCTTCCTCTCTGAAATCAATAAAAATATATTTTTTTAAAAAAGCAGCATTGACCTTAGTTTGAATTTATTTCAAGATAAAATTTCAAAAGCAAAGACAACACTAAAAATTTGGTTCTTTGAAAAGAATAAAACTCACAATATCTTATCAAGATTAATGGAAAAAAGGGAGAAAGACAAATTACCAATATCAGGAATAAAAAAGATGACATCCCTGCAGAGCCTCATGAATTAACTAGATCAGAGGAATTTAAATATAAATTTGAAAATTGATAAACCCCTTGAAAAGCACCAAACATCACAACTGACACAAAACTAAACAAAAAAATCTGCACAGTTCTACATCTGTTAGAGAGATTAACCCTAGCAATGAATATGTACCTACAAAGAACACTCCTGGAATACTGGCTATTTAACTTAGAAAATGTTTTGGGCTCTTTTTTAAGCCATAGAAACTTATTATTAAATTAGTATCACAAATCAGCAATTTCTAAAACACTGTTTAGCCATGAAATTCCTTCTTCATCTGAAAAGCATACAGCATATAGGAAAGATGAAGGTAGGGCCTACTTTAACTGGAAGCTGGTGAGGAGCCTAAACCCTGCTCAGCCACACCTCCTGGTTCCATGCTGCCGATCCCTGAGGGATGCCTCAGTCCGTGGGATTCCACAGAGTACAGTTTGAATACCACTTCACGAGTGACCCAGAAATCAAATTAGGTATAAAAACGTCTTTTGCACACATCTAACAGGATGAGGAGGAGGATGAACAAGATGTTTCTACAATTATTTATATTTCATTTATGGGATGTAAGTAAATGATTATAATGAAGGCACTGACTGCAAACCTTGAACAGCAGAAAGAGAGTAAAAGCTGTAACTTATCTGACACACTCCACTCAAGTCATGACAACATGGTCTCTGAGATCCTGCCCTGCCTGTCCCAGGGGTGTGCAGTACAGGCAAAGTGTCCTAGACATACAAGGTACTTTCACATACCAAACTGTACAGTCAAAGGTGAACAGATTTCATACATGTCACACACAATATCGGTTTCCCTCAACCACCAGTGGACTTGTTTAAAATATAAGAAGTTCTTATCTTAATTTCTTTCAGGTTTAAATGAACAGAAAACTCTTATTCCAAGTCAAAGCATTTAAATCAAGTAATATGCATAGCTACCATGTAATTAAATTGCATTTTATAGATCCATGTCTATCTTTTGGAATGGGAGTACAATTAGAGCTGGAAGAGAAAGGAACACAGTTTATAAATGTCAATATAGGAACAGAACTAATTTTACTACGTATTAATTACAAAATCACAAATTTTCTTCTCTTTCAAACATTAAAACATCTGTAAAGCACATCATTTTCTAACCACTATGCTGTACACTTAAAACTAATACATAATATTGACTGTAAACTGTAATTGAAAACAATTTTTTAATTGCTAAAAAAAAAATAATAATAATCTCACACAAAAAAGTGAACTTGGCTTTCCATGCCTTTCAGATCAGTGATGCTTGGTTCTGACTGATGTACTAATACTCTCCATGACACCATTTAGAGAGCAACTTCTTTAGTTTGATTAAAAAAAAAAAATAAGTATGGCCAGTATGGTTCATTGGTTGAGTGTTGACCCATGAACCAGGAGGTTGTGGTTCAATTCCTAATCAGGGCACACGCCCTGGCGGTGGGCTCAATCCCCAGTGTGGGGCATGCAGTAGGCAGCCGATCAATGATTCTTTCTCATCATTGATAATTCTATCCCTCTCACTCTCCCTTTCTCTCTCTGAAATCAATAAAAACATATCTCTATATATAAAAGCCCAGTGACCAAACAGCAGAACAACTGGTTGACCAGTCGCTATGATGCTCACAGATCACCAGGGGGCAGACGCTCAATGCAGGAGCTGCCCCCTGGTGGTCAGTGCACTCCCACAGTGGGAGTGTCGCTCGGCTGACCAGGATGAGCAGTGCTCCCATAGCGGGAGATCCCTGCAGGCCATTTCCCCCCTCAGCGCCACCCCCCCCCCACACCAGTGCACAAATCCATGCACCGGGCCTCTAGTTTAAAAATAAATATGTATGGTAAAAGCTAAGCTTATATGTAATGTAATAAAGGAGCTTAGTGCAGGGAAAATTAGGTGCCAGGGGCCACACACCTGGTGCAGAGGAACTTCCACCCTCCACAGATGAACCACCCCAGCCCTCGTCTTCTCCGCATGGACCTGGCACGTGGCAAAGTGTGGTAATCACTCTCGTCATTCTCAAAGCCTTCTTCAGACATCATTAGTGGCATTTCATCCAAATGGGCAGACTCATCTTCCAGCTGGTACCTGGTTAAAGATAAGAACAGACCAGAGAAGAATTTGTGAGGATGCATCAAAAACCTTTCTTTTTTTAGTAATGTAAATAAACTTTAACCATCAATTCTGACTATCCCATAAAAACTTTAAATGTATATAAGATTCATCTACAAACATGATCATCACCAAGCTGTGCTGTTTAAAAGTATACCCAAAAAAAGCATGGGAAAACTTTATTATCGATTAGACTTGGTTAAATAATTTGATGCCATACTATCACTAAAAACAATAAGGTAGAAGACCTTTTGCTGAAAACAAGTTTGTTAGGAAACACTGCAGTCACTTATTTGCACTCTTCCTTTGAATACCTCAATGCACCAATCAAAATGAGCCTCATTCTGGTCTCTCCACACGATTCTCCACAAACAACTCCAGTTACTACCAATCCCATTACAGAATGGCCTGACCACAGTAGTCATTTTAGATAATTTAGGCAAAAAGTTATATGATCTGTGTACAGGCCTAAAACAGAATTAATGTTTCCTCTTAAAAATTCCTTTTTTCTTATTCTCTGTATAACATGACTGACTTCTTTAAAAATACTCAATGAGGAACTGAATATTTAAACAAAATGTAATTAAAGTTCAAAACACCACTTAAATATATTACGATATATGTATAAAATGAGATTTTTAGTCTTTTTCATTAAGTTCTTCCGATTACTGTGTTGCATTAGGGAAAGTCACAATCTTATTCACTTCAATGCAGAAAAGCAGCTCAGTGTGTCTGAAAGATGCTGAGTATGAACAACATCACGGTTAGTAGCCTGGACTTCAGAAACAGAGCCTTTCAACTGGCGAGCACTTTATCCCATTTCCAAAGCAATTTTCCTACTGTATTGAAGATTTTACTTCAGTATTTAAAAACAATAAGATGATGAATAATGGATTTTTTCATAGACGGGCTAAGCAGAGAATCTTAAGTGTCTTTGTTGCCTGGTGTCATACACACTTAATTGGTTTGTCACTCAAGAAAAATCAACCTTTCCAGCAATTAAGTATAATTCTGGAAACATTTTTAAGACAAGTAAAAACAATGTGAACAAAGACGACAGAATGAATGATACCAAACCCAAGAGTACTGCCATATAAGAAATGAAGACAGCCATCCTAACTGCTGCCAAAGGTTTTAAAAAATTTAGGAATTGTTAACAAAACACTCAAGTACTGGAAGGCACATAATTCACATGTATCTAAGTATAAGTAGGTCAATACAATAACTAGCTTAAAGTCACATTTTTATCTTAAATATCTAACAACTTTGTTTCCATTTTGACGAGAAACATTTCTGAGAAGTAAACTGATATATAAGGGAGGATACATTTAAAATACGTCTAATGCTTAAGTTTTCTTTAAGAAAAATAAACAATTCCCCTTTTGCCTGCATGTTAGTAAAGTAAAAAACAAAAGTGCTACAAAGAAATGAGTTTGTTTTCTTCCTCAAATACAGCTTCTAAGTTCAATTATGTCACTGATGAGTCATGAATAAGTAGCAAAACCATATGAACTACCAGAGAAACTGGAACTCTTCCTCCCATAGCAGCAGAGGAGCTAAACAGTAGAACAGTAGGTAAAGAAAGGAAGGAACTGCCTGAAAAGCAGGGCTTGACCTTAGTAGAGAAAGCAACAGGAACAAGGGTCAGCCAGCCCCTCAAGCTGAGAGGTCGCCATGTGAACTGTGTACACAGTAACCTTGGAGCTATTGCCTCCTCTTCGAAAATATTCTGTAAGAAACTTAAATACCAATGTCATTGAGGCAAACTTCTAGACCAGAGTTAATGGTACAATACCTAATGTTATATCAATGCCAATCCAGAAATTTTAAGACACTTGGGCAAGTTAGCACAGGATAGTTGCCTAAAAAACTGTGATGTTCCCAATTACTAACTCTATCCACGTGATCACACTGTCAGTGGTAGGAAAAAAGTGAAATATTTCTATTCTGGCAGGCCTAAACAATGTCATAAACTTGAGTGAACTAAAGACCCACCTTAAAGGAAATTTTATAAATCTTAGAATATGTCTCTGATTTTGAGGCATCCTGGGCCTGGGCACTTTGATGAACACTGTCTTAAAAAATCATTCAGTGCTTTAGAAAAGCTTTTCAACTGTAAACTATCAGAGCAGAAGAAAAGTTTCACCTTTACAACTAGTAAGATATTATTAGATCCTCATCATAGTCATAAAAATTGTCAAGAAAATTGTGTATAGACCCTCAAAATGAGAAAACTAGCATTTAAAAATGTGTTGCCTCTACCAAGAAATATTTTACAGATAACCAGACAATAGACATCTGTTCTCAGCATGAATCTCTTTTAAATACTGAAGTTTTACTATTATAACACTGCAAATACCTCTAGGCAGGGCCAAGAGCCAAAGAGAAGCAAGGGAAGGTGCAACAGACACTGACAAAATCATGTCCAGTGTCACTCTTTCTTCAGTCACACATGCAAGATAATTTGAATGACACAGGTACCATAAAAAAGACAGGAATAAAAAAAATCAAATTAACAAATACCTTACATTTAACTCATGTCATCATAATGCAAAAGAGAAACTAATGCCTCACATACCTAATGAAAAATGTGCCGGGGGATAGGGGATGCCGGGGGAAGGTCAATGGGGGGGTGGGGTGGGGGAAGGGGACATATGTACTACTATCTGTAATACTTTAAACAATAAAATAAAATTTTAAAAAAAGAGTCTATGAATTTTAAAAAGTATTTCCTACTATAAGGCATTTCCATTTGTAAATATCATTTGCCTACAATCACAATGACTACACGTTTCATATTCCTTGAGAAAATAATTACACATATTTAAAAAATGATCTCCTTTTTAATATGTTTTTATTGATTTTCAGAGAGAGAGGAAGGGAGAGGGATAAAAAATATAAACCAACCGTACGCCAACTACAAGAAACTCACTTTTAAGATAAGTAGGTTATGAGTAAAAAGATAGAAAATTATATGCCAGGCAAACATTAATCAAAAGAAAGCAGAAATGGTTATAATAATGTCAGAAAATATAAACTTCAGAGCAAAATAATTACTAGAGGCAGACAGGGAAATTATGTGATGACAAAACTGTCAGTCCATCAAGAACACAAAGCAATCCCAAATATGTATGTATCAAATGATAGACCTGCAAAACAAGTGAAGCAAAAACTGATAAACTAAAAGGAGAAATAGACAAATCCACAATTACAATTAGAGACTTCAACATCCCACTCTAAACAACTGATAAAGCAACCAGACAGAAAACCACCAAGACAGTAGAACTCAACGCCATTAACAGGACTTAATCAACATTTCAGAATATTTCACCAAACAACAACACAATACACTTTCTTTCCAAGGGCTTTTGAATTCTAACTAATATATACCATATCCTGTGTCACAAAACAAACTGCACCATATTTATAATAAGTGAAATCACACGAAATATGTCTTTAACTACAAAGGAATCCCATGAGAAAAGATATAAATAGGACCCACATTCTCCTAACATTATTGACAAAATATCCAGGATACAATTGAAAACCATCAGTTATACCAAGAACCAAAACACTCACAATGTGAATCAGAAAAGACAATCAACTGACACCAAAAAAATAAGGTTAACTCAGACACTGAAATTGTTACAAGCATTTTAAGCTGAAAACATAAAAGTGCTTTAACAATCAATTACAGATTCTTTTGAAACAAACAGAAATTATAAAACTGAAAAATAAAATACTAAAAAAGTAAACATCACTGGGTGGAATCAACAGTAGAGTGAAGATGACAGGGAATGAATTAAGGAACTTGAGAACAAATAAACAGAATTTATACAATCTGAACAATACAGAGAAAAGAGGCTGGGGGGAAAAAAGCCTAAGGGAATTATGAAACACTAACAAAAGATCCAACTTTTGTAGCACTGGAATTCTGAAAGGAGAGGATTAACAGTGGAAATGAAGGAATACTTGAAGAAATAATGGCTAAAAACTCCCTAAATTTGGTGAAACAAAAACCAACAGGTTCAAGAAGCTTAAGGAATACCAAACAACATCAACCTAAAGAAATCTACACCAAGATACATCATAATTAAACTTCTGAAAACTAAAGACAAAGAAAAAACTTGAAAGCAGCAAAGAGAGAGAGGACACATTACCTATAGGAGAACACCAATTCGAATAACAGCAGACTTCTAATCAGAACCATGAAGGATGGGAGAAAGTGAAACAAGTTTTTCAAGATCTAAGAATTGTCAGCCAGGAATTCTATATCCAATAAAACTATCCTTCTGGAATGAAATAAAAGAAATTTCAAGATTGGCTATAGGAAGTTCTCCCAATGGAAAGGAAATAAAAAGAGAATCCTGGAACATCAGGAAGGAAGGATAACAGAAAGACCAAGTATGGACACTGGGGTGGTGGGGGCTTGCCCGGGGAGGGAATGGCTGGGGGGGGGGCGGGGGGTGTCAATTGGGGGAAAAGGAGACATATGTAAAACTTTAGACAATAAAAAAAAAAGTATGGGTACATACAATGGACTTATTATAAGTCACATTTGATGATTTAAACAAAAAGTGTTACATCATCTGATTACTCAGGACCATAATTTTAAAAATAGATTTTTTATTGATTTCAGAGAGGAGGGGAGAGGGGAAAGAGAGATAGAAACATCAATGATGAGAATCATTGATCGACTGCCTCCTGCACACCCCCTACTGGGGACTGAGCCCACAATTTGGGCATGTGCCCCGGCTGGGAATTGAACAGTGACCTCCTGGTTCATAGGTGAACATTCAACCAGAGCCAGGCCGGCCCGGCCCTCAGGACATAATTTTAAGGTGTGTGTGTGTGGGGGGGGGGGGGGGGGGGAGAAGGTGGGTAAAGGGACCAGAATGAAAGTCAGGTTTCCACACTTCACTCCATTCAGGAAAATACTGATACTAATCCACCACAGTGATAAGTGACAAGTATACTGCAATGCTCAGAGCAAACACTACAAAAATTATTCAGACCTACACTCAAAAACACTGTCCAGATAACAAAAGAAGTTCAAGTAACCCAAAGGAAGGCAAGAAGAGAAACAGAGGAATGAGAATCAGAAAAACAAATTCAAAAAGCATAAAACAGAAAACATTAATAAAATGGCACATTTACACTCTAACGTACAGATAATAACCTTAGATGTAAATGATCTAAATACACCAATCTAAAGACAGAGACTGATGGATGCAATAATGGAAAAACACAATTCAACCAGAAATTCACTTCAAATTCAACCATGTAGGCAGGCTGAAAGCTAACACCATGAAAACATCAATCCATCAGAAGCAGGAGTGGCTAAATGAGTATCTAGAAAATTACCAGACAAGGGGGCACTTTGCACAATAAAAGAAACCCACCTACAAGACAAAAGGGTCCGAAATGTGTACACACCAAATGAGAGCCTCAAAAATATGAAGCAAAGACTGACAGACCCAAACTGTTGTGGAAACTTCTAGCGTATTTCTAGGCAATGATCTCCAAAAGCCGACCTCTTGGATGGTCACTAACGCACTCACTGGTATAGATGACAACAGAGGAGGGAGAAATGGTACTTTTGGTCCAACACTGAACAGGGCACCTTTCTAGGTTCTTCCATAATCCTCTACAATCCCATGAAAAGAAGTATCATTCCCCATTTACCTCTGAGGAAATCAGGGCTCATTTTTAAATAAGGTGCCTGAGATCAGTTAGTAAGTCAACGAACAGAGGTTTGATGAAGCTCTGTAACACTGTAATACTTACGCCTAAACAAAAACATATTCTAAAATCGGACCCTAAAGCAAATGGTTATTGAAATCTGCAGTTTTCCCACCTGTGTTTTAAAGGCCAATTGCTTCTATAATTCCTAGGGAATACAATTTTAGTAACTACAAAAGGCAGTATTTCCCCTTTCGATAAGTTTGTTTCTAATTACTGTATCATCTGTTACATGTAGTACTCTTCTCTTTGGGTGAGGAATACATAGGAGTTAAAACCAACTAGGGTATGAGACTTTCATTTTAAATCAAAGGTCTGTACGTTTTCATTCTAAGCTAATTGGCCCCATTAAACAGCTTAACTTTCTTGGGTCAGTTTCTCATTCCTAAAAGCAAACACCGCTGTCGACAGAAAGCAGTTTGCAAACACATGTTTAAACAGTGTACTTGGTAGAGTGCATGTCTTCACTCGCTCTCCACATTTGTGAAAACAGGTGACCCTCCATCAGAAAAAGGGGTATCGGTCGTCGTCGCAAGTGGTGAGTTTCGGACACTAACAGTCTGCGGGACCAGCTTTCGGGCCTCTGGTGCGCGTCGCACAGAGAGCAGCACCAGCTCCCCGGGAGCGGACGCGGTCCCCTCTCCCTTTGGACCTGGCGCCCAGGGCGCCGCCGGGGGTCAGAGCTGGGGGCGGGCCCCGCCTGGCCCGGAGGCCCCTGACCGCTTCCGGAGAGGGTGGCTCCCTCCCGGTGAGGGCGCACCGCGACCTTGGCACACTGCGAGGCCAGCGGCGGGCCCCATGGCAGATCCACCCGAGCAGGGCGGGAGGGGAGGTTTTTTTGTTTTGAATTATGAACGTGCCCTCTTTACCTGATGGGAAGATCGGCCCCCGGCCCTGGTCCCAAGGAGCTGTAAGGGGACGCGCTGCTGCGGGGTGTCTAGGTCGCTCTGGCTGTAACTGTACACCTGAAACAGAGGATTCTGGGTTGGGATGTACCGGTAACTTGCTTCTCCGTCCCTTGCTGCT